TAAGGAAAATAATAATTGTGCTGCTGCAAGACAATATGGAGTAACAGAAAAGATGGTTCGGGACTGGAAATCAAATGAGAAAGCATTAAAGAGTATGCTTTGAGGAAGCCATTCCTTAAAAACCATTCCTTGTAACCCAGATGACTTCTCTGTAAAATCACGTGCACTTACATATCCAACATTTACTGAGCACATATGTGCAAGGCACTGTGTAAGATACTACTCTGAATAAGGCGGAGAGGATCCCCAATGTCTGACTGGCTAATGGAAGATCTTCTCTTCAATTTCTGAAGAAATGGAACCTACTAAGTGTAAATTACAGGCTGAACACGCAGCTTCCTTCAAATTTCCCTGATGGCAACATCTAACTTGATTATGAAGACACCCAGAAATATTTCATGTCTTACTAGGAACAAATAATGTGGCTTCATTGATAAAGAACTGGTTTCAATCTAGAGATCCAGTTTCTTACTTCTGCTATTTTTTATTACTTCATTGTATGAAGAATCAAATAAAAGCAAGCTATTCAGAGACCTTGTGGTTTAGAATGGGTGAATTAAATGAACAGTGAAGGAGAGTCAATTCTTTCTGTCACTAGAGCCGACTGTTAAATTTTCATGCATTTTGCAGCCTTTTGATGTTACCTTGGTATTTTGAAATTGCCAGTGATTAGGAGTATTTGCACCAAAAAATAGGCAAATGCTAAACACTTGGGGCTTTTATTCCCCCAGAAAGCCAGTTTTTAAACATTTTTCAGCACATCACTGTTGAAAAGGGAGGGTAAACATCCTAACGGTGAAGTGGAAGGTTTGTAAAGAGAAACATATGCAGTATCAAGATGAAGGAAAAAGTAGCAAATTAGTACATGGCATTCCAGGCAATAGATGCCCTAGGGGGCTAGTTTGTTATATAGGGATGATGAACCTCTATTTTTCCTTCATAGAGGTGGTTTTAATCTGGAACATTTTTATTTTATTTATTGTGGTAAGAACACTTAACGTGAGATCTACCCTCTTGAACAGGACATTTTTATGTAGCCATTTGGACTCTGTGTATGTTCCTTACTCTGCTTCACTAATGACGTATGAGTAGGCTGTTAGTTAGCCAAACAAAAAATATTAGAAGAATGAAGAGTAATGAGATTAGAATTATAATGGTCTATTACAGCGTAATAGAGTATACCTTGGAAAAGAAAGCTCTAAACTCAAGTGCTTATAGGTTGACAAGTAGACCCTGAGGAAAACCTGGAGTGTGTGGCTTCCCATCCATGACGTCCTTTGGGTTAACAGCCAATGTGGCTTATGAAACTTCCTCATTGTATGTGCACAGTCACTATACAATGTGCAGGATGTGTGACCACTTACCACATGGAGCTTTCAAATGAGGAGGTTTGACCAGACACACACTTCTGAAATGCCAAAAGAGAATTACCTTGCAGATAGCTGCCCTCTTCTCCTTCTCAGCCCTGTTCCTCATGGGTAGAGTGCACCAACCCTGAGTCCAGCACCTCCCTCAGGAGAAGCTGTCTCTCAAGGAAGTAATAGACATGTCTGCAGGGATGTGGAAGAGAGATCCACCTTGTTACCAAGAAATAAAATGAGGGCATGGGGTGAGACATAAGAGAAGAAAGGCAGTTTCCCATCCATGAAAAGGAGGAATTTCTAGCCAGCAGAGCTGCCCACCTGTTGCCCAGGGTGGTGCACATTGCCATCGGTGGAAGTGTCCTCACCTCAGCACATGGGCACCTGCAGAGCTTCTGCAGTGTGGACGAGGCAAAAGGCTGAGATACCAGTTTTCCAAGGAGGGATGGGATGGACCTCCACCAGAATTAGCCCCATTTACAGGCCAATTGTATGAGCAGCAGAAATGCAGTTTCACCCCTGAGCACCTTCAAAATAATAATAATAATAATAATAATAATAATAATAATAATAATTACTATCCTTGGTTATTCTTGAGAAAACTGAGCATTGTTTCTAAAAACACAGTAATTGAGTGAGTAGGCTGGGAATACAGGTCTTTGCTTCTGGTTTCTTACTTCCCACAAATTGCTTTCTTTTTTTGGATGAATAGTTTTCATGACCTGCTCTTTAAAAAAAAAGTTTGATTATTGACTGAGGGAAAATGAGAGCTGGATGGTGACTCAAGATGCTTAAAGAAAGAAAAAAATTAAAAATTCACATAACTTGAATTGTCAAGCCAGAGCCTGAAAGAGTTTTTCTGTCCAACTTATAAAAGCTGTGGTAATACCAAGAGAATTATGGAAATATTAAGAGACCTGCCCTGGACCCAGACACTAGAGCCACCCACTTGCTTCTACCTCTCTTATTAAAGACAAACAAAAAACATTAGAAAGAGAGAAGATTTGCCATTATCAGGCGAGGTGAAGTGCATTTCTTGGGATTGGCTTTGACCTGACAGGTCCCGAAGGGTGAGTCACTTTCTCATACTCCAGTCAATTTGATTGTAAAGTAATTATAGCAACGAAATCTTGTTTACTAAGAACTGAAGTTCACTCTGCCTGGCTTGAAAGAAGAACAAAAAGGTAGTGATGAGAACGCTTCTGTGGCAATTCGCACAGCAGCTTCGAGATAAGAACCCATGACTTGAATAAGCTACGTTTCTTTTAAATCGCACTTGTGAGTGATGGATGCCAATGTTTAAGTGTTACTGCTGCATCTCTTGTGGGTTTGCACTTGTGATCGCAGGCAAATAAAGTAGGAAAGTACAGTTTGATTAAATAAATCAAGAGTGGAGCGGGGAGACAGGAAGGGGAGGGGGGGAGAGCAGGAGAGGAGGATGACACATCTCAGATCTCTGTGTTGCCAAGATCTGGCCGGTGGCCAGGTAGAGCAAAAGCTGGAAGCGCGCCAGTGACTCAACCCAGTTCCACTGATCAATGAACAGGATAGGCACTTGGTGTTCCTGTCCCCATCCGCCCGCCTGCAGCCCAAGTCCAGGCAGTGGAGCCTCAGCGCCTGTCCTCAGTGGCTCTGTAGAATGGGCTGGAAAGCCAACCTTCAACAGACTTTTTACGCGACAGTCAAGGTAGCCTGAAGCCTGGCCGGATGACTCAGGGAGTCCTTTGTGCTGAAATTTCAGGATAGACCTTCACCCCAGCAGTCACTTTTGGGGCCACAAGGGAGCCACAGCTAGGTCTAAAGTGGCAGAGCCTGGTGTTTCTGGAGAGTGAGGAATAATCACTTCCTGCCTTTGTCCTTTAGTGACTGGAGCAACCAGCTTCGTTTACATTCCTTCAGTGGTGTTATTGAAGAGGCTTGGCAGCTCCAAAATGTTTGCAGTGTCCTTTAGTCCCATTAGGACTTTTTTTTTTTTCCGCTAGCTTTTAGCTAGCATCTGGAAAGATCCACTGAACACACTGGGCTGATTTTTCAAGAATCCACTTTACCCTTGAAGGAAACCCGGAAAGGAGCAAGCTTCCACCATCTAACTCTGGAGGAATTGTACAGCCTCTCAAACTACGGTACCTTTTTATTTCTTAGTCTGGCCTGTTACTGGGGTGGTTTTAGGATGAAAATGCTGGTGTAGCCCCCTGGGAGGAGAAGTGGTAGCCGCGAATGGGAAGAGGTAATTGTTTTAAATTCTAGTAAATTTCTGTTCCTATTGAGCCAAGGTGTTAGAGGTTATGGTTTGGGAAGGAAACTATTGCTACAACAGGAAAGACCCTAATCCAGAACTTCTTTGGGGTTCTTAAGAATTTTATTTTTAAAAATTAGAATAATCTGTGATGTGCTGTCTACTCGGATTTCTTTCTGTGGGAAGGACCTGCTGTGACACTTGGCAGCCTGTTCTTATCGCCTGCTCACATCTCCATCCTGGAGCGGCCTCTTAAAGAAGGAGTTGATGCGACCTGCATCTTTTTGAAGAAATGCGATGGATCTGCCTGCTCCATACAGAATCCAAACTGCATGTTTCATTGAGGACCGCTCGAGTTGAAGTGCACTCATGCATTTTTCAGGCAGCTAATTGAACTAGTAAATTTCTGGAATTCAAACTGCTCCGCTGCTATAGGCAAAATTCCTTGCCTGTCATGGCCCATCAGAAAGGGTTTGTATACGGCAGATTTCTGAACAGAACAGAGTCGTAGGTCTGGATGAGGAATGAAGTCTTGGCTCTTGCTGAGCCGTTCCTTAACTGCTGTGCGATGTCAAATCCCTTGCCGAGAAAAAGTCCGAAAGAAAAAGAATTACAGACATTAGGCTTGGTTTCAAGAAGTGTACTTTTTTATTTGTGTGCTTCTGGGTCGAAACAGTTAATCGCTTGCTCCGCAAGGTTACAGAGTGGTTCCCATTCCACCCTTCGTTCTGAACACAGCACTGTGTTTTCTTCCTGGAGTCGCTCCAGTCTGTGGACTTGGTTAATAAGTGATGAACTTCAAAGGCCGTGGACCTGGGACTCCATTAAGTGGCTGAGCCCAAGAATCTGAACCTCTGGAGTCAGCACAATTGCAGTGCAAAGCTCACCAGTCTTCTGAAGACATTTTTGGAACCTGGCCTTCATCCAGTAGTATTACAAGTGAAAAGAAATGCAGGGAAGACACCTCTGAACTTTTAAAGTGACCGAGTGATGGAGAAATGACTAAAATAGGTGAAGGTTCCAGAAGGAGGGGTGGGTGTTTGCTGCATTATTATTTTTTCCTAGATGGGATCCCACAGGTTGTGGCAGCCCACCATGGATGTGAATGGAGAGGCAAATCTTGGGGCTGAAATGAGCCTCTCTTGAAAGAGCGTTGCTTACTCACGCATGTGCAGTTCTCAGCAAAGTAATTATGCTTTTCCACTTGTTGAACCATCCCTTTGGTGCAGCTGGCTCTCTGTCCCCCAGCTAATAATGAAACAGCCTCAGCAAACTGGCACTGGCTTCCGTGGCTTCAGTGTCTCCCCACTCCACCCCCACAGCTGAACCCCTTTTAATATTCCTTAATGTGGTTCGAGATGTTTTCATTGAATATTTTTTTTATTGTCCTTCCGCTGTATGCTTTGGAGTTAGGACCAGCTAATATCTTGTGTTCTGGTGAACAGAAGGAATCGTGAGTAGGAGGGTGGTTTTATAATTACTGCTGGCCCAGCCTTGCTGGGTGAGGAAGGTTTGGGGACACTCCCCAGGTCTTCTCAATGCATGCTGGCCAGGTATGGCCAGCTGCCTAGGTATGTATTTGTTTTACCTACATTGAAGGCTTTGTGACCAAAAGGGAAGGGTATTGGATTTTGATGCTTGAATGAGGGAAATTCCAAGCTCAAATAGCCAGGGTTATGATTCAGAATCATATCATGCCTCTAAATTTCTCTCCACATTTTCAAAAGGGCATCCCCCCCCCCCCCCGGGCTATCATAAAACTGTTTACATCTGTTTCTTACACAAACTGACCTCTGTAAACAGGGACACAGGATTTCATTCCAATCTTTGATTTCTAAAGAGGAAATAGAAGGATTAATTCCCAGTGCCCTTGTGTTGACCTTGCCTGGGGGAGAGGGCTAACAGAGCTAAGGATGACCTCATCCCATTCCAGCAGGATTTCCTAGGACATGCACCGCCTCATTCTTCCACTGTCCCTCCGTGATCAGCCACATTAACTCCATAAGCTTTGGAGCAATTATGGTGACATCTAATATTGGCCCCTTTAGGACTTGAGTGTGAGGTCAAGCAAACACACAAAGCCATCATTATGCTTTCTGCAGTCCCAGAGACCCCCTGTGTCAGCTGGAGAAGCGGGAGGTGGGACAGTGAGGTGGGGGCATAGTCTAGGAACTGTGCTGTCTGAGGCAGGAAATCAGCCTGAAAGGAGATGGAAGGGCTTTGGTGGGAAATAAATGGCACTGTGTTGTTGACGGAAAAAGATCTTGGCAGGACTGTTGTTGTGAGTGTTCTGTGGCTTAGAAAGGAATTTCCTACAGGCTGGACTAACCATTAAAAATGTCTCTACCTTCAGGAGTCCCAGGCATGCAGTAGAGCCTCACTGGTGGAAATGTCAGCTTGGACCATGGGTACCCGCAGTTTGGACAAGCGAGGAAGTTTCTTTAAGGTAAAAAGAAGGCTTGGTTGGGATCGCTCAGCGGCAGCTTGCTCCCTTTCCTGGGCTGCCTTGGGTGCTGCAGACGCTCCGGCAAGCTGCAGGGGAAGCCTGCTCTCTGAGCCAGCTCGGGCTGTGGGAGCTCTCCTGAGCCCAGCTGTGAGCTGTTACCAGGTTTGAGAGTAGTTTGGGGCTTTCGTGAGTTAGTGCTTCCAGACGGGCCCAAAACCCAGGCACTGAGAGATGCCACCCTGTGTAAGACAGTTGAGGCAATCTCTATTTGTCAACGGCTCAGTCCTTCCTTTTTCGGCTGGATTGTTTTACGATGGAAGTTGGACTTTGCATTCCAGTGAATCAGTGCTGTTGGCCCTGTGTTTTGTGTTTTACACTTTGCTCGGTTGTATGAATCACTGAAGTGCTCGTTAAACAAAAAAACAAACAAAAAAACAACAACAACAAACAGATTCCTTGGCCTCACCCTTTACTGACTGAATATTATTTGATGGTATATTTTATCAAACACCCCAGATGCCTCTTATGATCAGGCAAGAGAGAACCAAGGCAGCATTAGAATTATACAACTTTTCTATATGCATATTGATGTTGATGGGATAAAATTACCTTACTAGTTTAAGATTCTAAATGGGTATTGTATATACTGTGTGTATATGTGTGTTTTAAATTAAGACTTGGGAGTCATTTGCAATTTACACTTGGAAATAATTTCCTTCTTATGACTTTTGCTCTGTGTTCTTTTACCCACCCTCAAAATAATGCATACTCATTGTAGAACATTTGGGAAATACAGAATCATGTAAAAGAGTAGAAAAACTGAGGTAAAGTGTACATTTGAAATGTGTCATAGGCAGGCTCTTAGCAGCAAGGTTGCCGGTCCGACATCCATATGGGATGGTGGGCTGCGCCTCCTCTCCCCGCAACTACGATTGAACACAGCACCTTGAGCTGGGCAGCCGTGAGCTGCAGACAGGCAGCTGGATGGCGACTGGACTTGGAGCTGAGCTAGCTGTGCCCTCCACAACTAAGATTGAAGGACAGCGGCTTGGCTATTCCTCTTCCCCGGTTCCCCTCCCCCAATTCCCCAATGAAACCTTTAAAAAAAAAAAGATTATATTACAATTATAGAAGCGGAGAATAGTGAAGAGTTACTTAAAATGAGCCCTGGTTAGACAGAGCCTGGGAATATTTCTGATTGTATAGGTCCTGTACTTTTGAGAATTACTGTGTGTTTTGATTGCATTAACATATATGGTCCTTAGAGATAGTATTTTTCATAGTAAGTTAAAAATGGTTTTATGATTATGTATTTTTGTCGTGTTGATTGCTTTTGTAAAGCTTTTAGAATACTTTTTTAGGGTATGTGTAAAACAGTGGGGTAGTTACTTTATCCAACTAGATACTCACTTTTTGAGTTATTTATTTCATAACTTTTTCCTCTTATGTAGCTTTAAGTGTATGAAAAATAGCAAAATTGAGTGAGCTGTTGTTCACTATCCATCTTTTGTACTTTAAGCTTTGGAAAAGAAGAGCTCCTTTCTTCTTTTTTTTGAAGATTTTGTTGGGGAATTGGGGGACGGGAGCACCGTTGGGGAGTCTGGGAGGGGGAGCAGACACGTTGCTGTCCTTTTGTTCTTCAGTCTACTTGTGGAGGATGTCACTTCACTGGCCCATGTTGGTATTATCATTGTGCTCTTCCCGGGTGAGGCAGTCGCTTGCCGGCCATTCGACGGCCACTCATGGTGGCTCTTGGCAGCTCACACCGGCTACCAGCCACTCACGGTAGCTTACAGCAGCCCACTGCAGCTTCACTGCAGCTTCCACCGTTGCCGGCGACTCATAGCAGCCCAGCTCCAGGTTGAGCTGTTGTTCAGCATCTTAGCTGTAGAGGGCGCAGCGTCAGCGGCCCATGTGGGATCTGAACTGGGGCCCTGCTGCTCAGAGCTGGCGTCCCAAGCCAACTCCTAACCAATGCGCCACTCGGCCGGCCCAGAAGACCTCCTTTCTTACAGTTGGAATAGTACTCATTTATCCCCTTACTTACCCAACATATTGAGGGCCTTTGGTGTGGGGAGGTAGGTATTCTCTGAGGCTCCATAACACAATCTGTTGAAAATCATGGTATAGGCAAATGATATTATTTGTTGAAAACTTCAGGATAAAGACTCCTAAGTTTGTATATTCAGTCTAGGTTACATTTTTAGATATTTGGAGTAAGGTGACTTTAACTTAAATTTTAAAACAGTCTTTGAGGAATACATTAAATGTAAGCAAGCTTTCATGCTTGCACATGCATGCTTTAAAAGTGCATATACTTTATTGTATACCTTAAACTTAACACAATGTTATGTGTCAATTATATCTCAATAAAGTTGGGAAAAATAATAAGTAAAGATAAATACAAAAAACCCCAGTGGTTTATTTTTACACTTTTCTGATTAATTTTCTTGCCCAACAGAAAATTGGTAAAAAAAAAAAAAATGTGTCATAGGCAGATGTTGAAACACCAAACCTTTCCTCAATGAGGAATGATATAGAGGCCTCTTAACTTTATTAAGGAGGAAAACTGACAATTTTACTAATTGTTGTTGGAAGTATGTATTAACTCGCATTTAAATGCTTCCTATTTTCAAAAGACCAAACTTGATGTTTTGTGTCAGTTATGGACTCCATAAAATCCATCAGAAGAGCCTGTTGATAAAGGAAAGCTAAGTTCAGTAGCTGACTGTGGTAAGGGAGGACATCGCTGGGACACAGTCCTGTTGTTGTCTAAGCAAGAGGAGGTTGGGAGACATATCTGTAGGGTTTAGAGGTCTAGGTCCAAATCCTTTAAGCTGTGTTTTTCAAGCACAGAAGTGATTGGATTTCAGCAAAGTTTGTGCCATAATAGTACAGGATTGATGGCTACAACAAGACAAGGGTTCTTGAGTTTTGGCAAGTAATCCATTATTGACAAGCAAGCTGTTTTCCCAGGTGAACAAACCATTCACTTAGAACAGATTGTTTTATAGGAATTTCTTGCAGCAAACAAGTTGTTTATTGGTTTACAGCCTTAACTTTCTGGGCAAGAATATCCTGGAAGAAATATGAGTCGTGATCAAAAACTACGGTGAATGTTTAAATTAAAAAATATGATTACAGTAGAAGACACATTGCCATTAATCACCCTCAAAATACTCCCCCTCACTTCCAACACACTATCCCATCTTGCCATTTTCTGAAGCAGTTCTGGAAGTCCTCTTTTGTGAGTGTCTAGTTGCGCTGCCGTGGCTACCTCGATGTTCTGAATTGATTCAAAACGTTTACTTTGCATGGTCATTATAACTTTGGGGAAGAACCAGAAGTCGCACGGTGCCAGATTCAGTGAATAAGGGGGATGAGGACACACCGTAGTGTTATTATTTGACAGATTTCCATACCAGAAGCAATGTGTGACATGGAGCCTTTGCATTGTGATAAAAAAATACAGTGAATGCTGCTGCTGAGTGCCATCCAATGGAAAGGCAGGGATCTTCAATACGGAAAGTGGCACATCGAATCTTAGTAACAGTGTATGACAAGTTTCAACTTGTTCAGTCAGTTAGTCGGGTGTGAGCTATGGTTGAGAGAAGTGTATTTTAAAATGTGCCTTAAATATCATCCTCCATCATGACAACGCTCCATGTCACACATTGCTTCTGATATACGGCGATTTCTGTCAAATAAAAACATTAAGGTGTATCCTCATCCACCTTATTAACCGGATCTGTCACCGTACAACTTCAGGCTCTTCCCCAAAGTCAGAATAATTCAGGATATTGAGGCAGCCATGACAGCTCAACTAAAGGCACTCACAAAAGAGGACTTCCAGAACTGCTTCAGAAAGTGGTAAGAACGATGGGATGTGTGTTGGAAGTGAGGGGGAGTATTTTGAGGGGTATTAATGACAACATGTCTTTTACTGTAATAATTTTGTTTTCTTGTTTAAATAGTCACCTTATTGTTTGATTACACCTCCTAGTTATGTTGACACAGATGGTCTTGATTCTCAGTACTAATAGTTAAGCTATGTGGACATAGCAGTCTTAATTCTCAATCAGTTTACTCAATTTAAATCAAACCTACATAGTGTCCTTCCTCATAAGGCAGACGAGGGGCTCCTCCAGTCTCCTGCAGACCACACGCTAAACCCATCAGGTTTCTGACTTGTCTCCAGTTCCTGGATTCTGTCTTAGGCTGAGATATTTATTTTATCCTGGTAGAAGGGATTAACCCAACCCCCTCCTTAACCCAAGGCACTACCTACATCAATCTAAATACTGACTAGTCCATAATTACCACTTATGCTCAGGAAGTGCAGTGGAGCTGAATCATATGTAGTAGCTAGCTATTAAAGTCAAGGCAAAAGGAGAAAATTGAGTATAGTCAAAATTGCCTTTGAAATTTCCTTTAGGAAGGGGCCTTGCTGGACCCAGTTTTTTCTGCAGTCCTGGGGAAAAAAATTTTGTTTTTAATTTTCAGTTGAACAGTAGGTTAAATGTCATTAACTTGTATTTCTGGGCTATGGCCTATAAAAGAATCAATTGGCAAGAGTTTAGAGGCCTGCCTGAACCTGCTGAGAGTAAGTTCTACTTGTCCATCTCTCCTGAGTCAAATGCCCTTGAGGAAAATGTGGGCAAAGTGGCCTTCACTATTTAACTTGGTATTGTCTGTCTTGTTTTTGTTTTACAGAGCTGAAATTTATTTAAGTTAGATGTTTGTGTAAATGATATAGTTACCGTATACAGTTGACCCTTCAGTAACATGATTTGAACTACGTGGGCCCACTTATATGTGGATTTTTTTCCATAAATATAGTCAGTCCTTTGTATCCAGGGATTTTCCAACTGTGGAACGAAAATGCTGTTTTTCATCTGAGGTTGGCTGAATCTGCAGGTGCCAAGGGCCAACTACAGAGTCAAAAGTTATATGAAAGGTTTTTGGTTGCTTGGGGCTTGATGCTCCTAACTCCATGTCAA